CAAATCGAAGAGAGACCAAGATTCGAAGAAGGTCTGAACCGTTTACGCAAAGAGTATGCCCCACTCCAATTGAGAGAAAGTTGTTCCCGGGACAAAAATATAATTTATGTTAAATGTTAGATCTAACACGTTTTCTAACACGTTTTCTGCATCCCTCAAACTTTGTCATACTTCTTCGTAAACTAAACGTAAATGTTTTGTGAAAGAATATAGCAACCGTCCGGAATTCAGACGGTTGCTTTTATACAAAATTCATGCGGGAAACTTCTTGAGTTTTTGGTTGAAAGAATACTGCGTGGAGCCAAAAGTGGCTCACCTCAAACAAGCATTTATGAGCTTACCAAAAGGGTGTTACTGAATGAAATTCAAAGGTATTATCATACATCCCTGACCTCGTTCATTTTGTTCCCGGACAAAAATATAATTTTAGGATAGAATGGTTAGATCTCACCTGTTTTTTCACCTCTTTTTTCACCTCTTGAATTTTGTAAGACTTTCTTCGTAAATGTTTGTCAAGACTTCTTCGTAAATTTTGTCAAGACTTCTTCGATATGAAGTGTAAAGACCCAAATATAATTTAGGGTAGAAGGTTAGATCTCACCTGTTTTTATTCACCTCTTTTTCACCTCTTGAATTTGTTCAAGACTTCTTCGTAAATGTTTTGTCAAGACTTCCTTTCGTAAATGTTTTCGTTATCCACTTTGGTGCAGCTCAGTCCAGTAGTCAATGAAATTTACACAAAATATAATTTAGGGTAGAAGGTTTAGATCTAACCCTGTTTTCTAACCTGTTCTTCTACCCTCGTGAATTCTTCATAATTTTCCTGTAAGATAGAAAAAGAAAGTTTAGTTTTTATTTCATTTTTTTGTAATTTTTTGTATAAAAACTGATTTCAGGGATTTTTTTGACGAAGTGTCAAACGTTCACTCGTCAAAAAATAACAGTTTATAATGAAAAAAGTGTCCATTTTTTTTTGTATTTTTTTGTATAAAAGACATGATTTCAGATTTTTTGACGAAGGTGCAAACGTTCATCTTCAAAAAAATAAGCAGTTTAATAACTGGAAAAAGTGTCATTTTTTGTATTTTTTGTATAAAAGACCATGATTCAGGGATTTTTTTGACGAAATTGCAAAACGTTCACTTCGTCAAAAAATAACATCATATAATGAAAAAGTGTCATTTTTTGTATTTTTTTGTATAAAAGACAATGATTTCAGGTATTTTTTTGAACGAAGTGCAAAACGTTTCACTTCGTCAAAAAAATTAACATTATAAAATGAAAAAGTGCATTTTTTGGTTTATTTTTTTGTATAAAAGAATTGATTTCGGGATTTTTTTGAACCGAAGTGCCAACGTTCACTTCGTCAAAAAATAAAGTTATATAATGAAAAAGCTGTCATTTTTGTATTTTTTTGTATTTGACGAGAATAGTCCGGGTAGATGGTTAGATCTAACACGGTTTTTCTAAACACGTTTTCTAACCTACATCTTGAATTTGTCAAGAATTCTTCGTAACATGTTTTTCAAGACTTCTTCGTAATGTTTGTCAAACTTCTTCGTCATGTTTTGTCAAGACTTTCTTGTAATGTTTTGTCAAGGACTTCTTCTACATGTTTTTCTAACCTCAAATTTCTACCCTCTTTGATTCATGACTTTTCGTAAATGTTTTGTCAAGACTTCTTCGTATGAGTGTAACAGGACCAAAAAATATAATTTAAGGTAAAGGTTAGATCTACCTGTTTTTTCCCTAAACCTGTTTTCTACCCTCTTGAATTTTTCATGGAATTTTCCCGAAAATAAAAAATAAAAGTAGTTTTATTTTTTATTTTTTTTTTATTTTTATAAAAAAACAAAATGTCAGTCCGAAGCAACAACATTCAAACAACACACCAAAACTCGTTAGTCATGATCCAACATCTATGTTATAGAAATGAAAAGCTTCATTCCTTCTTCATATACTTTTGAACAGAAATCAGAAGATAAGCAGGAACTTTTAACAAGTATTTGGACTGTGTGCGAAAGATGAACAAAATGAACAGTATCTTTCGACATGCAGGACTGTGAACATTTAACCCAAATTGCCTGAAATCCAACAACAAAAAGCTCACTATTCTGAATCGATGAAATTGAAGTGAAACCAACTGACTCAGTAGAAATAAAGAAGTTCATACGAAAGGTAAACTATGAATTCTTGGATTTCATTGCAACCATAAGGTTATGGACAAAATTGCGACATGGTATATAAGAATGTTTTGACATATATAAATCTGAAGAAGTTTAAGAACCTACGACAATTTGTTTCGTTAGTTCTGAATGTGTATGGCAGATAAGAGATAAGATAAAAGATGTAAATATGGAACCAAGACAAATACAAACCAGCAGCTTTTGAGATGAAAGAGCAATTGACGCCTTAGTTGTTTAGCAGTAAGTTTCAGAATATAACGCAAAAATGAACCCGCAATAAGTTCAAAATGTAAGGCCAGCAATGAGGAATATAAACTACTCCGTCAAAGAGATTAGATAAGAATGAGAAACGCTATGCAGATTTAAGAAAGAAATGTCAAACATTGAGTTTGAAACAGTAAAAAGATAGACAATGACACCAAAGTGGTTAGAATAGGTGATTTAAACGTAAGATACTCAAAGAAATACAACAAATATTCTTTGTCAGACATTATACCCATCTGGAAGAAACCGAAGGACTGGGTTAGAATTGCTTCTACTCAGAAAATTTGACAAGAAATCCTGAGCTTATGATATCGTAAGATTTCTATGGAACTACAGCCACTATTCATATGACAAAAGTCTTATACCAATAGTTTTGTTATGGTTAGACCCAGTTGTTGGATATAACTTCATAACTATGGTCTCATTCGATACGAACGTTTCAAGTGAAGGCTACTTTTCATCGATTCAGAACACGAAGGACTTCAATACAAAGAGATATAAGATAGGAAGGACAATAATATAACTCAAAAGATATGACAGTACAGTTCAATAGAGTCAAGGTTGGTTTGTAATGATATGAGAGCTGCAGAAACAGAACTACTTTAAAAGTTTGAGAAATGTATGTGCTCCCATAAAAGGTAAAGAAACGTTGAAGTAGATGAGATAGATAAAGCTATAAAAATGTATTTGACGAACAGTTGCTGAAAAAACATGAAAGCGTTTATTTTTGGTCTTTTTGTGAAAGTCAGAAAATAACGCTAATTTTTTATAAATTTGACGAAGTGTTCAACCTGTCACTTGTTCAAAAAAAATCCCTGAAATCATTCTTTACATACAAATAAATGAAATAAAACTTAACTTTATTTTTTTATTTCGGAAAATCATGAAAATTCACGAGGGTAGAAAACAGGTTAGCAAAACCAGGTTGATCTAACCTTGCTGACCCTAAAATATATTTTTGTCTGATTACAGCCTCATTTACGAAGAAGTTTATCTCTCTCTTTTTTAATTTGGCTCCTGGTTTGAAAGGTTATTATGTTCATAGACTTTTAGTAAACGCTGTATCAATCTGGGCTTCACCTCGTTATGCTTGTTATATTTTCATGATGTTAGATGAACTATATAAAGCAGAACGTGAAGATATGGAAATGAAACTTCAAGCAAAAGATGAAGTCATTGAATCCAAAGACAAAAGCATACAGAAAAGAATACCACGTTCAGTACCAAAAGGAAAGGAAAAGAGTTATAAGTATATGATATATACTGAAGAGTTGGAGAAAGAAGAAGACGGTGACATGGTTATGTTGCATTTAGTCAGAAGAAACAACAAGAGCTTTTATGACTTAGCTAAAATATATAAATCTGACAGAAACTGGTTCTATCGTGAAAACTTACCGATTTCAATGACACCGAATGAAGATGTTAAACAGATAGTTCAAGACACACTTCCTCAAACACACTATGACATCAAAGGTTGCACAATACTTACATTCAAAGAAGACTTAACATTACTGAAGGAAAAAATAACAGAATATTTCGATAACTTCAAAGAGGAAGAATGAAAAAAATCTCGTCGGGTGCCACGTTAGAACCATAGTGGAGAAAACCATGATAAAAACAAAACGCTCCATGTCGATCATAATCGACGAAGTGCAAATCTTCACTTCGTCAAGTTTATTTTGTTTTTACCATTTAATTGTTGTAAAATGTCGATATGAAGAATGAAAAAAATATATTTTTGCTTAAATGACGTCAGGGTCAATTTCTTCAACCATTTCACTTCCTTCGTCAATGTCAATAGAAGCTTCTTCAACCTTTGGTAAGAATTTCTGTATAACATCTTTGTTCGTTATTGTCTTCAGAGATGAAGGATAATATTTCACATTTGTTTCACCCTTCTTATATTCTTTCTGTTCGGAAAGATTCATAGCAATACTGAAGAAGTCAATGTTAGAGTTCTTTATGACAGTATAATGAGTATCTTTGACATTCACGAAGAAACTCTTTTGTTTCAAAACTACTGCTAACTCTTGTGAAGTATAACGTTTGCGGTCAATGACGATAGCTAATGGTCTGACATACTGACCGAACTTAGATTCTTTCACAAACTTCTTGTTAAAGATAACATTAACATTTGAAGCACCATTGAACTCATTCTTGATGGCATTAGCGAGAGCATTGTATGAAAAGAACTTGCAATCTTGCATGTGTTTCATTATAATAAAAAGTTCGAAATATTTTAAAACTAGCCTTAAAAAATCTAAGCTAATTTTTTTCTAAGAAATTTTTTTATTTCCTACTAAAGATGTATCGGAAGTTGTCTAAGTTAGAACACTCGGAAATAAAACAACTTCTTACAGAAGCTAACATAGATGTTGCAAAACATTACGCGACAAACAAAAAATCACTCGCTGACATCCTCAATGACTACAATGGTGAAATAACTTATGATAGAATTCATGAGTTCATAAATGCAAGAGCATTTCCTTTAAATGACGTTGCTATTGACTTATATCATAGACGTTCATACCTCATGAAGTAAGAAGAGAAATGTTTGACATAACAAATGCGAACGTTGGTCATACTCGTAAAGCTCTTTCGCATGATGTTCGTCAAGAGATGTTTGACATAACAAATGCAAACGTTGGTGAAACAAGAAGAAGAGACGACACACTGAAACAACAGAGAAGAGAGATGTTTAAAAGTGCTATAGAACAAGTTCGCAAAGCTAATAATGTCATTCGTTCCATTGACGACAAACCAAAAGAAGGTGAGAGATGGTTAAAGAAAGATGAAGAGAATAGGAAGAGAAATGTGAAGTCAGGCAATAGACTCATTGACTTTAACATCGAAGCTTTAGATGAACCAAACAGAGAATATTTACACAAACATTTCGGTAAGGTTTTCATGAGACTCTTAGAGAAGATTAAAATAAACTCACAACAGAGATGGATGGTATGTTATAAACTTGGTGGAAAGTATGAATGTTCTACGTTAAACCTCAATAATATTGGAACATTACTACATCAGCTCTTGAAGGAGAACTTTATATCAGAGATAGAAGCAAATGCTGCAGGTATTGTTGAAATGCACTATGACTTCTTCTTGACAAACATAAAGAATCTTACTGAAATAAAGATGTATGATTTAACAGAATATGAAGGCTTAACGATGTCAGATGTAAAGAAAGGCAAACCAAAAAAGAGACCATATAGAGATGAAAGCACACTGACAAATGACCAGAAAGCCATTTTGGAAGCTCTTAAGCAAACAGGAAACCCAGCACTTATAGAAAGCTTTTGGAAAGATAATGGTGAAAAGAAGTTTTATAAGAAGAGAAGCGGTCAGTTTGGTAGTATCTTTGCACATTACCTATAAATCTTGAACGCTACCAAATCTTCAATGAACTGAACAAAAGAACTGCAACACTTATGACAGAAGATAACTGCTTCGTTTATGCTTGCATTCAGGCTGGAGTAAATGAAGAAACTATTGACCACATGAGAGAAGTCATTCGTGTTAGAGACTTTCCTCAAAGTAAAGTACAAGAAATTTCTGACGCAACTGGTATAGCATTTAATGTTACCATTGGTTACTTCAATGACTCAAGACATAATGAAATAAAGAGATATATACCAAAAGAATGTGAAACTGTTCGAACTATTGACTTACTTCTTGTTGAAGACCACTACATGCTAAACGAAAGATTACCAATGACAACATATTTCATTCGCAACTATATAGAAATCTTGAAGGAGTGTGGTGGAATGAACATTGAGAAACAGATGAAGATTTATACAAAGAGAGAAGATAAATATGGAGTTCGCATGGATAGAACTACACCGCTATGGGATGTTATGAAAACATTGTGGGAGTGCAAATATTTCGAACCTATTTCTTATGGAGAACTTTTCACATATACGACTGACTTATATAAACAGAACCTTGCACCATTTAAAGATTTGACATATGCTCCAAAGTATTGTGTACAACTGAAGAAGAAAGCCGAGTCAAAAGAAGTAAATAAAGCTAAATGTAAGTTCATTCCTGAGCACGTTTTCTTTGCTGACTTTGAGTGTAGTACGGATGGCTTTCATAAAGCTTTTAACATCTGTTATGACAGTGAAGATGGTTCAGTGAGTGAAAGCATTTGGGGTCAGAACTGTGCAACAGAATTTTTGGAACGACTTCCTGACAAGAGTTTAATATATTTCCATAACCTCAGTTATGATATAAACTTCATCTTAAGACACATGACAGAAGTGAAAGGAACTCCCATCATTAAAGGTTCACGAACAATGCAAATAACTGGCTTATATAGGGTGTCCAAAGGTGCGTTTAGCACAGCGCTCTATATCAGACTATTAAAGGAGATATATGCTGATTATAAATATATAATAAAAAATATGAATATATGTATATGATGAGTATGTTGTATTTTGGCGCCATGCCGGGATATAAAATGAATTTTGAGACAAGAGGCGGTTTCGCGGGAAATTTTGGCGGGATTTTTTTCATTTTTTTAATGAATCATAAAGAAAACATCCTCGCTCTTGCAAAAAAATACAAAGACTGTAAAAAATCTACGAGACATTGGTAAAATGCTTCGGTATGGATGCTCCTAGCTATTCCACTGTAACGTATCATGTTAGGATGTATCACTTCATGAACAAAAAGGCGCCCATCATAAAAATTGACAAAAAATCGCCGGATCAAAGAAAAATCAAGCAATTCTTCAAGCGCTAGATGAAGACCCAAGAGCATCACTCAGAAGGATAGAGGAGATGACAAAGATACCACGTACAACAGTCAGTTATTATCTGCACAATTATTTGAGCTACAAACTAGCGTATACACGTTGGGTTCCGCACAACCTTAATTCAGTTCAAAAAAAATCTAGAGTCCAATCTTCGAAAGAGCTCCTCTCTATATTGGGTGCGTATCAATCCAAGAAGTTTCGCTTTTTAGTAACAGGGGACGAGTCTTGGTTTCAATATGCAACAGAAGCCAAAATCATGTGGATCCCGAAGGATGAAAATCCGCAAACATTCCCGAAGAAAAAAAATTGACACACCAATGATGATGTTGTCGGTTTTTTGGGGCGTGAATGGCATCATCGCAATTGATATTCTTCAAAAACCTAATACGATGAATGCTCAGTATCTAATTGACAATGTTCTTACTCAAATTATCAATTCTGATGAGTTTGAGAAATCCAAACAACAAAAACAAAAGTTTGCAATTCATTTTGATAATTCAAGAGTTCACAAAAGTCATAAGGTAATGAATTACTTGGTGGAAAACAATGTCAAAGTTGTTCCAAACCCAATTTATTCACCTGATATTGCACCCTCTGACTTTTATTTATTCGGCACGCTAAAAAGAGAGCTGAAGGACGCGAATTCGCGAGTCCAGATGATCTTGAAAATTTTGTAAGAGAGCAATTTGAGCAATTTTCTCATGATGATTTAAAGCGTGTCTTTCAAGCCTGGATCGATCGCTGCGAACGCGTGATTGAATCCAATGGTGATTATATTTAAATAAACTTTATATATATGTAACTTGTTTATTTCTATTCGCAGTATTCAGGTTTGTGCTAAACACACCTTTGGACACCCTATATAAAGGAAGGGCAATTATTATAAAAGACTCTTACAGTGTTATAAATAAGAAGCTTAAACTATTTCCTGCTATGTTTAACTTACAAACAGGACCGAAAGAAGTATTTCCATACAACTACTACAGCAGTACTTTGTTAGCAAATGACAACAGAACTGGTGTCATTTCTGAAGCATGTAAGTTTATCCAGGATGCAGATACATTTATGAAAAACATAGATTCCATCAAAGGTTGCAGAATAGATGAAAACCATTTCGATTTAGAAAAATATAGCTCATTTTATTGCAAACAAGATGTAAGAATTTTAAGAGAAGGTTTTGTTAAGTTCCGCAATGACTTATTGAAAGAGTTTGATTTAAACGTTTATGACTACGTTAGTATTTGTTCAATTGCTAACAAATTATTTGAGAACAGAGTGTACTTCCCGAATGGAAATTTATATGACCTCTCAAATAAACCAAGAGAATTTATTTCGAGATGCATTCAAGGTGGAAGATGTATGTTGTCAGATAACATGAAACAAAAGAGCGAAAAGAAACTCATTGCTGATTTCGACGCTGTTTCATTATATCCATCCGCTATAGCAAGACTTTATACTTTAGAAGGTATTCCAAAGGTTATGAAGAAAGAAATGTTAAGCACAGAGTATCTCATGAGACATTTATTCGATGACGACCAAAAGGAACCCATTGGTGAAAAGTTTATGTCTGGCTTCTTTGTTCTCATTAAGATAACAGAGATTGGAATACATAGACACTTTCCTTTAATAGTTTGTGACCCTGAACTAAATCCAGAACTTAACGTTCCCAGAAGTTCAAACACTTGCTGTTTAATGTATGTTGACCATATAACATTACAAGACCTCATAAAATATCAAGGTGTCAAATGTGAAGTGTTGCAAGGATACTATTACGATGGAAACAGAGATATTAGAATAAGAGATGAAGTAAAGAAGTTGTTTGAGTTAAGGTTAAAGTATAAGAAAGAAGGAAATCCTTTGCAAGAAAATATAAAGCTCATTCTGAACAGTATTTATGGCAAAACTATTCTATATCCTATTGAGTCAAAAATAACCATAGTAGATGACAAAGATGCTATAAGATATGCCATCAGAAACTACAACCATATAGTGAAGTTCGAAGGTTTGGATGGTTCAGATAAAACTATTTTCAAGCTATCGAAAAGCATTTGCAGACACTTTAACTTCTGTCCACTTGGTGTTAACATTCTGTCTATGTCGAAGAGAATAATGTGTGAAGTATTCTGTACTGCTGAAGATATGGGACTTCAAATATTTTACCAGGACTGCGATAGCATGCATATTTTCAATGAAGACATTCCAAAGCTTGCAGCAGAGTTTAAGAAGAGATACGGTAGAGAACTTATTGGTAAAACATTAGGTCAGTTCCATTCTGACTTCGCAGAAATAACACCTGGAAAACAAAGTTTAGCATACAAGTCAATATTTTGTGGAAAGAAGACTTACATAGACTTACTCACGAATGATTTAAATGAAGTTGCATTTCATGCACGTTGTAAAGGTGTAAAACAAGACGTTCTTGCTTTAACAGCTAATGAAATGTTTCCTGAAGCTATACAATGCTATTACAATGAAGATAAGAACATTCACATACCTGTTGGAACATATGACAAAGACTCTGAGTTCAGTTTAATGAAACTTTACAAAGCACTTCATGATGGTCAGGAGATTGGATTTGACTTATGTAAGTCTTCTAGTCCTTGCTTTGCTGAAAAGTTTAACTTCTCAATAACGACTAAAACAAGCTTTATTCGTAAGTTGAAGTTCTGAGGTCATTTATTTTTGTCAGCAGTGAGACCATTCGTGATAAAAATAAGCCGCTAGCGGCATGGGCAAAGCCCATGTGGTCATTTACAATACAGCTATTGTAGAATTTAAGAGTTGTGCTTCAATGTAGAGACAGTCCTTATGGTCTGGAGGTAAGAACACTGGGCAGTTATGGTCATGAGTGGAGTACATGTCTATCCAAAACTCACGATTGAAGCCAGTTAATTTATAGTATTTAGGGTTAGGAAGTGGTGAAGTTCTTGTATGACCAATGAACTCATTTTCAACTCCCTTACTTAAGTTTGAATATAATATAGCTTGCTTTCTATCCCAAATGCCAGTTGTTACAATCTTTGAAAATTCATTTTTCCTCGGAAGCATTGCGTCATAATTGAAAACATTCTTGAAGTCTTCATTGGGTTCAGAGATTTGAAATCTTATACGTAATGGATTTTCTTTCTTTTTAGCGACTTCATTGAATGGTGAGAATACAATGAATTGACAGTCATGTGTTCCATCTTCATTTTCATTAAATTCATAATGAAAGTCTATAAGTTGTGGCTGACTACCTTCTTCTTTCAGTTGTGCAAGAAACTCACGTAAAGGCTGTAAAGTTTGTACTTCAATGTTGAACTTTTTCTCGAACATCTCATTAAATGAAATCATACATTGCAACAATGTTGTATCGTCTTTAAAGTATTTGTATATGTGAATGTTTTGGGCGCTTAAAGACTGTTCGTCATTTTCTATCTCGACTTGAAGTATAAAGTCAACCTTTCTGAAAGCACGTGTTATATACATAGATGTTATGCCAATGTACTTCTCTTCATTTATGTTCACAATCCAGTCTGTTGGAAACTTAAACGTTACTCTGTTCCCCTTTATTTTGACGTCAGGGTTTTCACTACTGAACGCAACAGATAACGGTATTTGTCTATACATTTAATTCGGATAAAAATAAACCATTTACTCTTTCTTTGCTTCAGCTTCTTTAGCTTTTGCTTCAGCTTCTTCTCTAGCTTTCTTCGCCAGTAGTCTTGGGTTCTTTTGTCTTCCAGCAGCTAATGCAGCAAGTTGTTTTTCACTAAGTTTTCTCTTTGGTTTCTCTGGCTTTTGTTCTGGTTTTTGTTCCTTCAGTTCGGATAAAATTTGCTCACGAATTTCTTTCTTCAATGCTTCAACATCTATGACCCCTTGGGTCTTGTCCGTAGGGCTTGTCTGAGTCATTTGACTGCGGATAAAAATCTAACTTAAAACTTTAACCGATGTAAAATGAGCTTGTCAAAATCAGAGCGAGAGTCTATTATATTAAATGACGCCAGAGGAATACAACATCCTTTCTATTACGTAAGTCAGAGTAAAGATGGTAAAATATATGTAAGAAAAAGAAAGGTTCCATTAGCGAATACAGAGAGCGACAGCATTAAGGTGCATGGCACCGAGGGCGAAGCCCATATAAAACCTTCTATTCAAACTGAAAAGTCAATAGAACCAGAAGAAAAGAAGCCAGATGTTCTTTCAATAACGAACCAAGAGCTTATTGCAAAGTTCGTGAATTTCATTGAAAAACAAACCGAGTCAAAGAACCCCGACCCACCAGTGAAAGAAGTTGAGACAAAAGAGAATGTACAGTTCATTGAAAATGTCAAGAAACAACTTCCACCACGAATGCCAAGAAGAAGAGTGAGAATAATGAAGTAAATAGATATTTTTATCTGAAGTAAATACATGCAGAACGAACAGCTAAACGAATTTACTCCAGCAGAGCATATTCATCAGATTCGCTCATATTTTGATATCATAGACAATGCAGTTCAAATTGGTGACACTAATAGAAAATATTCTGACGCAAAGATTCCATCACAACCTGGAACTGCTAAAGATAACACATGGGTAACATTCAATCTCTCACCTCCTGGTGAAAATATGTTGGACCTTTACAATACATTCATTACGTATAAAATGGAAGGTCAATTTATTGTAGATAAAGAAATTGGTTCAGGTTCCAATAAAACAAACCCACTAGGATTTTGGATTGGTTTCGATGACGCTTTCTATGCAGTTGCTGGATATCAAATCCTTGCAAATGGTCGTATCGTATATTCTCAAGACAACGCAAGAGAAGAAGCATATATAACTTCAAACTCACAAACTACCGAACAAATAAAGAAAGTAGATGTTTTCTCAAAGACTCGACATGAAGATGTATGGAGTCATTCGGGAACATGCAGAACAGGACAAATTGTTAGTGGTCCAATTACAGCAGGAAAATCATTTGATTTTAAGCTTCGTTTAAGAATTCCTGTTAGAAGATTCCTTCCATTAGAAGCTATTCGATTTATTCCAGCTTTTGCAGGAAACATTCAGCTTAAAGTAAAGTTCAGTAGCGACGCCTTACAATGCACATCTATATCTGTAAATGATATCATTGCTTTCAATCCAACTCTTAAAGTTGCATTTGCTTCAGATTCAAATCCACCGACAAATAAATTTGTTCCATGGAATGAACCATTCACTATGATAACGAAGGCAATAGAAGCTAGTGGAACAGTTACTATTACAACTGTAACCCAGCAACTATTTCGAACAAAGATGGATTTTAATGAATGTTTCATTCATCCAAAATCATTCTCTTTAGACCCTAACATTTATACAGAACTTGTAGAACATTATACAAACGAGGCTTTATGTTTTCCTGTTAAAGTTATGGATTGGATTCCTATGGACGGTTCATTCTCAAAGAATACAGATAGTTCAAGTGCAACATTTACAGCAGCTTATACGCCTATTAATGTTAAAAGTATTTGGGCACTATTTAGAAAGAAAGACAACTATTATGTTAATTTTGAGAACCCTAAGTTTAAATATCTTCAGCTTTCCATGGGAGCTTATGGAAATATGCCTGCAGAACCTGAAAAATCATATGGACCTGTATTTTATGAAATGGTTGCGAACGCTTGCAATACAAACAATGATATGATAGGATTTAATGAAGATGTTATGAGGTCATTGGTGGATGATGGTAGTGTGGAACATAAATGGGATAGCTATGACAACACACATTTCTTATGTGGTTTTCCAACAGAAGTGGACTTTTGCTTCCAGCAAGGTCAAACATCTACTGCTCCAATAACATACAAATTGTCTGTTAAAGGACCTATTGAACTAGCAACTGAAAATGTACCAAAGCCACTTATTGGATTTATGAGGGATTGTTGCTTTGCCATTCAGGTAAGACAGTCAGGCATCCCCATAATAAGATTAGATGACTATAACTTAGCTACGGACGACAGTGAGGAATAAAGGATGAACGTTTATTTTTAAAGCTTATAAATGAGTTCTTCATCAAGCTCTCGCGAACCTTCACCATCTATGAAACAAACTTTACCAAACGATTATGGAGCACCTATTGAATATTTCTTACGAGCTGCACAATGGCAAAGAGCAGTCTCACCAAGGTTAGGTGTTCCACCAGCTCCTGTCAAAAATAGCATTTGGTCAAGTCCTTATATAAGATATGGTCTCCAACTAGGTTTGCTAGCTACAGCAGGAGCAGTTATGATGTTGAAAAGAAATAAAGCAAATGTTGTAAATAATACTGAAGTAGCTGAAGTTAAACAAACTCCAACACCTTCACAAGCAAAACCTTCAATGACTCCTGAACCTATGGAAGTACAAACTCCTGTTCAAAAGTCAACTCCTAAACCGACTCCAACATTTAAACCAGAACCTACTCCTCAAATAAATCGTAAAACTCCTGCGTTTCCTTACTGAAAAAATAACGTTATTTTTATTTAATATTAAAATTTTTATTTGATTGAAATGACGACTAAAGTCACTGAAGCAATGAAACAAAAGTTTTTGGTAGAATACATTAAATCAGGAACTATTCCAGAAGGTTTTTACATTCATACTATGAAGGATGGTAGAGTTCAGTTTAGAAAGATAAAGCAACCATTAGATAAAGAAGGTATATTAAGGAAGATTAAACTTCATGAGGACAACATTGCTGAACTTAAGAAGAAGTTAGAAGAGTTGGAGAAAGGAAGAGAGTTATAAAGCAATGAATTCAACAAGGTTAGAAATGAGGGTAGAAATGAGGTTAGATCTACCCTTCTACCCTAAATTTATTTTTGCGCTATGTTTTCATACGTGTGAGGGTGGTGATATCATTAATTTTTAAGTTTATTTTTATATAAATGACAGAACAAAAATATAACATTTCTACTCAGCAGGAATGAGACCCTTACTGACTATGTATTCGTTTAATGCTTGATGAAAACAATGGTGCATATTATCGTATGGGTATACACAACGTCTGTTTCCATCGTCGTCGTATATGTAGAGCTCAAATCCAGTCCAACCTTCTTTTGTACAATATGTAGCTTTATTTAAGTATGCATTTATGTAGATAAGGCAATTTTCTTCATCGCTCCAGAAATAATTTTTGTTCTTTGTTGAAATAGTTTTCGTTCCTCTGCGACCATAAGGAATGTATGCAATGAACTTTGCGTCATAAGGGATTGTAATATATTCAGGGTTTCTTTCATCGTCAATGGGTCTATCTTTGTTAAAATGCATGTTTCTCAGTTTTACTTGAGTTTTGAATAGTTCACGGAAACGTTCTGGGAAAGAGTCATAGTAAATGTAGTCAGACATGTCTTTACAATGAAATAAAAAATTAAAAAAATAAAATAAGGTTATTTTTTATTTAGTGAGGACGGTAGTGAATTCGTTAGTGAAGTCATTGGTGAAGTCATTAGTGAAGTCGTTTATGTGTCAGATGGTTTTGTAAATATTTAAGGTTAAGTTGGTGTTATGGTTGTGTTGTAAAATATACGTTACTGGTTTCGTAAAGTGTCAAAACCGCTAAGTGGTGTACGGAGGCGCGCAGTGCCACAGTACACGACTTAGCCATACTAACTTTCTTTCCATGATATATAATGTTCAGTTTTTCCATCAGTGATAATTAAACATTCATCATTAAATGAAAACGTGTATGAACCAAAAATTAATCTTTTCGCCCTATCAGCTTCATAAGAATATGCGGATATACTCATATTTTTAATTATAATAAAAATGTTGTTCTATTTGCAAAGTACAGACCCTAATGATTACGGGACATTAAAATTACAAACTAACCTTGGTCTTCAGAATGAACCACTAGCTTTCAGAGTTCTTGATTTTAACACTATCGCTTCATTTGTTATAACAGATACTAACGATTTCATTACATTTGAAATTGATGGTATTAGTACTGAAATTCATTTTAAAGCAAGAAATAAATATGATATTGATACGTTAGAGAAAAAGATTCAGGATCTCATTGATGAAAAATTTAACGGAGCCCTTAACTGTGAATTAACTGATTCAGGAATAATAAAATTCAGTTCTGAAAAAGAATTTAAAATTACTGATATGACTCATCGAGCACGTTTATTATTAGGTGCTTATCATCAAGAATTACCATTAAAATCTTCTATTGAAAATCAGAAATATATAATTGAAATGAAATCTGCGCCCTACATCTGTTATGGAAACTGTTTATATGTTGAATCAAAAATAAGTAATGTAACAGGAATTTCAGGAGTTAATAATAAAAATGCTGTTATAGAATATAAATCGTTCTGTTACGCCGTTAATTCTGTATTCATGCCTAATTTCCCGATTTTATTAAGACACGAAGGAAAATGGGTTCGAATTCAACCACACCATTTAAAAGATATGACATTTAGATTAGTTGATTTTCAAGGCGAACCAATTGAAATTAAAGCTCCTGTTCAAATGACTATAGAAGTTGATTTTTGGTCTAATATAAGAGCTAATGGACTAGATGATGAACCAGGGATAAAAATATAAATTTTAAATTAATTTGTTAAAACATATTTCAAGCAAAGTTTATATTCTGTTGAAAGTTTTGTGTATTCATTCGAATATTTATACTTAAACTCAACTCCTGTAGTTCCTGGTGTTTCGATTATTCTAATATTACCGATTTTCATGAATACTGGTATTTGACCACAACATTCGATTTCGGGGTCGAGATAATCAATAACGCACTGTTTACCTGTTATTCTTGATATAACATTTTCTAAATCCTCCTTTGTTAAAATTATTTGGTTCTTACTAATTAGATTTGTCAAAAGCTTCTTATCGTCTTTGAGTAATATTGTTTGGTATAAATTAAGGAGGTAATGGTCTACGTTATCTGAAGGATTTGTTTGAATAGTTGAATAAGGGTTATCTTGAGCATCATGTGAAATTATGGGCTCTAATGGAGGTGGATATTCTAACTTAACTTCACTATTAGCGTTTGCGCTTGAAGCTGTGTTTAAATTTACCGACTTAAGTTCTGGCTCGTTATCTTTCAAGTTCTCAGAACTATAATTTTTGATTATAATATTATTTGTCGTTCTTGAATCAACATTAGATGTAGGTTCAATAGGAACATTCACTGCACCGGCTAAGATGGATTTACTTCTCATTTTCTAGAGAATAAAAACCTTTTATTACTATAAAAATGAATAATATCTTTGATAAAGGTTTAAACGTGAAACTTGAAAATGAAAATCTTGTTGAATTTACTGAAACGGGCGCGGTTTATAAAGATGTTGAGGTGTTAAATAAGAAAGCAAAAGGCAGGAGTAGAAATATGAACATCGATTATAAACCATTTACTATTTACGTTGTTGTGCATGAAAAATAGCGTGACTTCACTTTTGACAAAAAGTGACATTATTTCTGATGGTTTTGTCATTTATTTGTCAGATTTATAAATGGATAATAATGCTGTAAATCAGATATTAATTAAAAATATTTAAGATTTATGTTCGAATTGAAAAGCAAAATGATAATTTTTTAATTGAAAAACGTTAATATCTGATATTTTGAAGTTTTTAATATTTGTTAGTATCTTAAATTATTGAATGCATACGTTTTTTATGTTCTCAATTTTAAAAAAATTGTGAAGAATTTAGTTTTTTGGAGATGGATGTTTAATATTTGTGAGTGAGAATGCAAGCAGGAGTTTGGTACTTTAAGGCTAGGTTGAGATAGATTTCCCATTATATTATCTGTGAATATATTGTTTTAAAATTCAAGATATAAAAATATATTATCAAAAAATTTTATATTTTTAAATACAATAGGGTGGAAATATAGTACAATGAGATAGCAATGATATATTTTATAATGGGAGGTAATCTGAAGATAAGTAGCAAATTTTATGCGATTTTGATTGGGAGTTGGAGGGTGTGAGTACTATAGCATGTAATAGTATCTCACACCCTCCAATTCTTCCTATGGCGCCGAAAAATTTTTGGTGAAAGGCGACGACATTTCACCAAAAAATTTTCGGCGCCATAGGAAGAATTGGAGGGTGTGAGATACTGATTCTATCTATGTACCTCGCAAACCATAGTTCTCAGCCAAAATGGCTAATAATTTGAGAGTCTATATGATAATGTAAAAGTTAAAACATTCAAGTATTTAAGTATTTCTTTAAAATATTAAGTTTTTTATTTTTCCAATAAAATTCTAATATCAAATATTTTTATTTAACGATTAATTTTATTTATATTTTTATAGTTTTTTTAAGAAAAAATATTGTTAGGGTTTTATGGATTTTCAATTAATATACAAGATAATTCATGAATGTATATATTTCCAAGTTTTTAAGGATGCAACACTTTACATTTGTAAACTGTCAAAAATGAAGTCACGCTATTTTTCATGCATTACAGAATCTATTCACAACACCTCATCTAAAAATAAAGCTTTAAAATAATGTTGGTCTTTCCCAGGGTATATTTTTAACATTAATTGTATTAGTCATTATATGAATTTCTAAATATGAACGTGGTGAAATGAGTGATTTATAAGCATCCCAGATTTCATCAAAAGGTAATGTTATACCTGATTGCTTCCAAATTAATTCTATATCGTATTTTGAGAAACCTTGAAATATAACGAAATCAGTAATGAGACGTTTAATGTTTAAAGCTAAAAACCTCCACGTCTGCATAAGTATTGCAACAGTCATGTGGTAATGTCTGACTTTCGTTATTAAATTAGCTAATGGTGAATCTGGTTTTGAAACTAAACCTTTACCAGCGAAATCATCACAAACTAATAAAGTGTTTGATGGATATTTTTTAAAAGGATATTTTGAAAGTTTTGAGAGAATGTAGTTTGTCAATCGTTTCATATCATATGTACCATCCTGCTGTCTCAAATGATGTTTATCAATAATTCTTTCCATTTCTTCCGATGTCTTTTGCATTCCTGATTGTATAAATTCAACTATTGCATAATATTTCTTCTTTCTTCTTATATATTGTTGAAGAAAAGAAATTAATTCGCTATCTGGAACTTTAATTACTGATGCCTGAACTTTACTCATAAACGTCTTCGCTGTTGAATCCATTGAATCTGAAGTTGCTGATATAATGATTTGGTCATAATATGAATCTTGACCTAATCGTTCAGTAATTAAAATATGACGAATTAAATTAAAAGTCTTTCCTGAACCCATTTTTCCACAATAGAAATACACACCGTTTGAACAGAACTGATAATCCTTACTGAAGGGAAGAATTAATGAACTATTGAGTTTATCAGATTTTTCATTCATTTTTTCATCTACTTCTTCAAATAAATGTTTCATTTTATTATAATTAAAAATGCAAGTCAGAAATTTTGTTAATACCGTTCCCAGTCTTAATGATAAAAATATTAAAATCTATTATGAGCACATATTTTCACAACCGTTTAAAATAATCAATGGTGAATACATTTATGAATACCCTAAACACTGGGTTGATTATAACACTGGTGAAAAAGCGATTGAAATAAGACAGATAAAAACCATTCCTGCAGGACGAACCATTGAATTATATAACTTTGGAATAATAAGAGATAATCATCAATATGATTTACAGATTTATATAGATTTAGACACAGGGGATGATATGACAGCATTTAATAAAAAGATTAAATCGGTTCTTATTGAACAGTTAAAAGGTGCCGGATATCCTCAACCTAATGAAGTTGATATGTTTTATAGTTTTGAAACTAATTTAATAGAATTTCGTGTTAATTCAAATTCAAAAGCTGGTTTCATATTTGATTTAAAAGATAGCGCTGTCGGTGATGAGATTGAAAATGTATACACGAATAAAAATTTTCAAGAGATTACAGGAATTAATAATGATGAATGCTTTTATCGATTTGCTCAGTTCGGAGCAGAACAAATAACATTAAATGACCTCCTGGAGTACTTACCAAAATCAATTTCCATTAAAAATGATGATTATTTATTAACATCAATTTCATTTAATGGTGTTTGGTCCAGAGAAGCGGCAATCATTAAATCAAGTATAAGTGAATTCGCTGAAGATTCTATTTTATGTTTATCAAACTGTTTATATTCTCCGCCGAAGCATTATTCAATAACTAATTATGTTAATAAATTTAATATAAAATTAGTTGAACCATCGAGTGTTCCGTACCGAAATGCATCACTAGAAAAGTGGCAAAAAGTGATACTTACTCTTATTTTGCGCGGCAATTTTTCTAAGTTATTTTGTTAAGCTAAATGTGTTATATATCAAATCAGCTTTATAAATATTATAGAAAAGTTTATTTTTATTTTTAATTATTATTATTATTTTTTAAATTAAAAGGGAACAGGGCAAATTTGTCCCGCACTCAAATTAAAAGAAAACATTAGAATTATATGGATATATTTAAATTAATTATAAAAATAAAATTGAATATATTGAAGTTTGAGTTTATAGGTATACAAATTTTAGAGGCATGTTGGCTGAGAACTATGGTCTGCGAGGTACATGGATAGAATCAGTACCTCGCAGACTATAGTTCTCTATATGGCGCCCAAAAAAAATTTATGATTGTTTTTTATCAAATCTTATCCATATTATTCTATTAATGTTAATTATATTTTATCAATTATATTTTTTAAATAATAAACACAAAATCCACTAATTTAAAATTGGCGCCAAATATCACTTTTGCTAGTGATGCATTTCGGTATGATATAAGTTGAACCATCGAGCCTAAAAGATATTGTCCTTCCTGATGACAGAAAAGATAGTATTATTATCGAACTCATATTAATCGCTTATTAAAATTTAATTATATATAAATGAGTTCAACAACTGAAAGCGCATGGACTAGTTTTGATGAAAACCCTAAACCGCGGAATTATAATAGAATTGTAATTCCTGTAGGTCTTTTATTAGCTGCTGGTGCTGTAGCGGGACCATATTTATATAGAAATTTATATAGAACACCGATTAATTCAACTGCCGGGGCTGATCTTATTCCAACAGGTCTGAAAAAATCTACACCTATTCAAACAAGCCCGACACAGGAAAGGAACCGCGAACCACTCACACGTATTAGGTCTTTTATTAATTATTTAAAGAATAGAAGAAATTAATTTGTAATAAATGACGTCGTTAAATGTAAAAATAATTTGTGATGATATTACTATCATTGATGATGTAAGTGAGTGTGCTAATATAATTGATAGAATTAATGAACTAATAAAGAGGTTCAGTGGTGAAAATTTTATGAGTTAATCATTATGAGAAATGATTTTAATAAGCATTAAATGGTATTTTCAACACTATCAGCTTTGTATGGAGGTTATAAAGCTATTGACGGTTTAACTGGTGGAGCTGTATCAAAAGCTTTAAAAAATAATGCTGGAATGCTTGTGGGAGCTGCTGCCAGAAAATTAAAATCTGAAAAGTTAAAGAAATTAGGTAACTGGGTCGCTGACCAGTCGCAAAACCTTTTAGGTGAAGATAATGAAATATCTAAGCAGCTAAAAGATTTTAAAGTGTCATAAGACGAGATGGTGGAGGTGAGGTGAAGTCAAAAAGTGACACATATTTGGCCGGCTAAATTCCCCTTTAGTTTACATGTCAAAATTACAATAAATTAATTATTTTGCTTAGCAATTAGCTATGTATTAAAACTAAAATTATTACTATTCAATTCTTTACATTCAAATATAGGGTGTCCAAAGGTGCGTTTAGCACAGCGCTCTATATCAGACTATTAAAGGAGATATATGCTGATTATAAATATATAATAAAAATATGAATATATGTATATGATGAGTAAGTTGTATTTTGGCGCCATGCCGGGATATAAAATGAATTTTGAGACAAGAGGCGGTTTCGCGGGAAATTTTGGCGGGATTTTTTTCATTTTTTTAATGAATCATAAAGAAAACATCCTCGCTCTTGCAAAAAAATGCAAAGACTGTAAAAAATCTACGAGACATTGGTAAAATGCTTCGGTATGGATGCTCCTAGCTATTCCACTGTAACGTATCATGTTAGGATGTATCACTTCATGAACAAAAAGGCGCCCATCATAAAAATTGACAAAAAATCGCCGGATCAAAGAAAAATCAAAGCAATTCTTCAAGCGCTAGATGAAGACCCAAGAGCATCACTCAGAAGGATAGAGGAGATGACAAAGATACCACGTACAACAGTCAGTTATTATCTGCACAATTATTTGAACTACAAACTAGCGTATACACGTTGGGTTCCGCACAACCTTAATTCAGTTCAAAAAAAATCTAGAGTCCAATCTTCGAAAGAGCTCCTCTCTATATTGGGTGCGTATCAATCCAAGAAGTTTCGCTTTTTAGTAACAGGGGACGAGTCTTGGTTTCAATATGCAACAGAAGCCAAAATCATGTGGATCCCGAAGGATGAAAATCCGCAAACATTCCCGAAGAAAAAAATTGACACACCAATGATGATGTTGTCGGTTTTTTGGGGCGTGAATGGCATCATCGCAATTGATATTCTTCAAAAACCTAATACGATGAATGCTCAGTATCTAATTGACAATGTTCTTACTCAAATTATCAATTCTGATGAGTTTGAGAAATCCAAACAACAAAAACAAAAGTTTGCAATTCATTTTGATAATTCAAGAGTTCACAAAAGTCATAAGGTAATGAATTACTTGGTGGAAAACAATGTCAAAGTTGTTCCAAACCCAATTTATTCACCTGATATTGCACCCTCTGACTTTTATTTATTCGGCACGCTAAAAAGAGAGCTGAAGGACGCGAATTCGCGAGTCCAGATGATCTTGAAAATTTTGTAAGAGAGTAATTTGAGCAATTTTCTCATGATGATTTAAAGCGTGTCTTTGAAGCCTGGATCGATCGCTGCGAACGCGTGATTGAATCCAATGGTGATTATATTTAAATAAACTTTATATATATGTAACTTGTTTATTTCTATTCGCAGTATTCAGGTTTGTGCTAAACACACCTTTGGACACCCTATATTAAACAATTCAAATTTAATAACAAAGATATTACAATAAATAAAAAATGATTAAAAATGTCCCTGAAAATTTTCTGAAAGCTATCTCGTGTTTAGGTCTCAATTTTTTTAGAAATAGAAAAAGATTGGATTTAACTTTCAAACATTATATATAGTTTTGTATATGGAAGCCTTTAAATACAAGTTAATGATATGGAGTTGTATTGCGAGGAAGAGGGAATCAAAGAAATTGACGAAGTTCCAGAATTTTATTCAACAATTCTTAATCAATTAACAAAAACTATACCGAAACTTATCTTGCCATCCAAATCAAATCACATTACATACGGAATAAACATTTAATCTTTTACCATTAAAATTATATTTATACGTTATTTAATTTTTTTACGTCTAAGTTGAATAGGATAATAGCCGAAGATATAAAGTAACTATAGTTTACAAGCTAAGGAACAAATCAGCATTGAAACTAAAAAATGCTGAAATATTATAATAAATTGAAGAAATACTGTGATAGAATACCTAGTTATACTAGATACTATTATAATATGAATTCATTTGTATTGAATATCGATAATAAAAAATCGATGAAATATTAAAATGAGAATAAATTAATAATGAGATTATAAATTAGAATTATTTCTCTTTTATTTAAAATAAAAACTTAGTTCTATTTAAATTCGATAAAGAAGTACGAAAAAGTTGTATTATACGTATGATGTTGCCCGAGGTTTGGTAACACTATTGTAGAATATAAGCATATATGATAGAAAAGCAATATGCTTAATATCGAGTAATTCTAATTTTTTACGAAATTATTCAAATACGTTATTTTTTAAAATGAAAAGATAAGCATACCATTATGCAGTAGTTGGCGCACATATACTATGCTGATGAAAGTTGGTCTCTAATTCGAAACTTGAGTCTGTCAAATTGACGTTCCATCTTATTTTAATCGATATTCAATACAAATGAATTCATATTATAATAGTATCTAGTATAACTAGGTATTCTATCACAGTATTTCTTCAATTTATTATAATATTTCAGCATTTTTTAGTTTCAATGCTGATTTGTTCCTTAGCTTGTAAACTATAGTTACTTTATATCTTCGGCTATTATCCTATTCAACTTAGACGTAAAAAAATTAAATAACGTATAAATATAATTTTAATGGTAAAAGATTAAATGTTTATTCCGTATGTAATGTGATTTGATTTGGATGGTAAGATAAGTTTCGGTATAGTTTTTGTTAATTGATTAAGAATTGTTGAATAAAATTCTGGAACTTCGTCAATTTCTTTGATTCCTTCTTGAAGCGTTGAAATTTCTTATTGACTCTCTTAGATCTTTAACAACTCCATCTACAATCCAAAGCGGTAATTTACTTGAATCATATTTTTCTGAAATTTCGTAAAATTTGTTAGGTGTGTACCATGTATGTAATGTCGGGTTTTTTGGTAAACTTGTGTGTGGGTTTGAATTGTAATTTTCTATAAGACTTTGTATATCATTCCATGTGGCGTCTTCAATTTCCACATTTTGCCAAAACCTTTCAATTTTCCCATTCATATATGGGCAATGTGGGAGAATTGTAATACTTTGAACGTTCGCATTTTGTAATAAATTTCGAAAAACCCAAAATTTTCTGTTCCGTTATCACTCCATATAGCAAAGGGCTTCCCATATTTTTGGAAACATTGGTCAATTACTCTACTTGTTTGCGCAGCTTCTTTTGTTTCCAAGTGAGCCCATGCTAAAATTTTTCGGGATTTATCGTCAATAACCGCATAAAGATATTCACCCTGACGATGTTTAAAAAAATGAATATCGACATGCCATATTAAGTTTATATATACTGCTTCGTATTTTGTTTTTCCTTTTGGTACTGAATTTTTGGCAGGTTGAACGATATTCAGAATTTTGAAACACTTCTTTACAGTTCTTTCTGAAAAGTTTGTTTCCAATAATTTTTTGTTAAAATAATCGGTTGATTTTTCCAAATTTTGAGTAGTTTCTGTATGAACGATATATGGATCTTCAGATAATTCCGACTCAATTTGTGGATCTTCTTCGGAAGAATTGGAAGAAAAAAGTTTTTCTGCTGATGAATCAGAATCAGAATTTGTATACTCAGAAAGATATTCTGAAGAATTTGAAAAACCTATTGGATTTGTATTTAATTGTGAAATTGGTAAATCATCTAAATCATGATTAGCATTTTCGGTTTCCCTTTGAATTAACATATC